CCTGAGGGAGCTGGGAAGGGAATGGAGAATCCCTGAGGGAGCTGGGAAGGGGCTCAGCCTGGAGCCAAGGAGGATCCCCAGGGATCTTTTCCCTCTCTGGAATTCCCTGCCAGGAGGGGACAGCCGGGGGGATTTGGGATCATCCCAGGGAATGGGACAGGAGCAGAGGGAACGGCCTCAGGCTGGCCCAGGGGAGCTCAGGGTGGATTTTGGGGAAATTCCTCCATGGAAAGGGTGCCCATCCCTGCAGGGATTCCAAAGTGGACGTGGCACCGGGACACGGCAGCACTGGGAACGGTTGGACTGAAAGATCTCGGAGAACTTCTCCAACCCAAACACCTCCACGACCCCTCCCATTCCCAGCTCCCTGTTTCCGGGCAGCGTTCCGCGCCGCGGGCCGATCCCAAATAAAATCCAATCCATCCCAAACGAATCGGGGCGCACCGGGGGAGATGATGTAGAAGAAATCCTTGAAGTCGTCCATCCAGACCTCGGCCAGCCGCCGGTTGTTCTTGTTGATGACGTGGCCGGTGCCCCCCGGGAAGGTGTAGGGGGTGGCCTTGCGGAAGACGTGTCCCACGTGGGAGCAGGTGACGATCTCCAGGGAACCTCCGCACTGCCAGATCTGCAACGGGAACGTGGGGAACGTGCGGGAATCCTGCCCCAAACGTCCCCCTCTGCGTCCCCACCGCAGCCGCGATCCCACGGGAAAATTCCGGGATTTGGCCCTGGGTGGCAACAAACGTGGGGTTGAAGTGGGTGGGGTTTGGGTCTCCTGGGTGAGCAGCAGATCAAATCCAGTCGGGAATGCTTGGGAGTAGTTGAATGGGAAAAAAATATTGGCTTTTTCAAGGGCACTCTGGAATTTACAGGATATTTCACCGCACAGGAATTCTATGGAAAACAGGAGCTATGAAAAGAGAGTTTTAACTGGATTTCACTGCTCTTCCCAAAAAACCCATGGAGCTCAGGCCCAGCCACATTCCAGGGAGGAATAAAAACAATTTTAACTGGATTTTTCCTGCTTTTCCCCAAAATCCACAGA